TGTGGAATTCGGGAAATGTGGGATTCGGGAAATTTGGGATTTGGGAAATGTGGGATTTGGGAAATGTGGGATTTGGGGGTTGTGGGATTCGGAAAATGTGGGATTCGGGAAATGTGGAATTCGGGAAATGTGAGATTCGGGAAATGTGGAATTCGGGAAATGTAGAATTCGGTAAATGTGAAATTCGGGAAATGTGGAATTCGGGAAATGTGGAATTCGGGAAATGTAGAATTCGGGAAATGTGGGATTCGGTAAATGTGGAATTTGGGAAACGTGGAATTCGGGAAATGTGGGATTCGGTAAATGTGGGATTCGGCAAATATATGATTCAGAAAATGTGGAATTCAGGAAATTTTAAAATTAGCAAATTTGAAAACTTGCTAACTAAAAAATTCCACAAATCTCTAAATTTCAAGAATCTTCAATTATCGCCTCCAATTTGAAAGTGTTAATAGAAGAAAAAATGCAGTGATAAAAGAATCAAACTCGTTGAAAGCCACGTATCTGTAATTATTCGTTTGGTTAGTTCACGGGACGAGGATTGCGATGGCAACGCAAAGGAAAGGGTACTTTAGATCGAGGCTCACGGAGTTTCTGACATGTCGCGAACAAGTCACGTTTTTCGCGGCTGCCCGGTGCGCTGCAACACATCCGGTTGCAGCGAACGTGGGCGCTGTAACCGACAGCACGGCTCGTGCAGCACTGTTCGACGAATTAGAGTGTGGTAGATACGTGGTTGATTTCTATTAACGGGCCGCCTCTAAACGCTGCTGCACCGTCTCATTACCGATCACCTATCGATTGCGTCGCCCTAACGACCATCGAATCGACCAATTCCCTACGATTATTGTGTCATCCTGCATTCTTTCGCTCCGGTATCTTTCTGTCGCTTAATTGTGACGGTTTCTTTCAATTAAGAGAAGAACTTCATCATTTTTGTTGGATTTTTAGATTTTTAGATTTTTAGTTTCTTGGATTTTTGGATTTTTGGATTTTTGGATTTTTAGATTTTTAGATTTTTAGTTTCTTGGATTTTTGGATTTTTAGATTTTTAGATATTTGGGTTTTTAGATTTTTAGATTTTTAGATTTTTAGATTTTTAGATTTTTAGATTTTTAGATTTTTAGATTTTTAGGTTCTTAGATTTTTACATTTTTACATTTTTAAATTTTTCACCTTATGAAGTCTATAATTATTCAATTTTCAAATGTCAAAATCTGCAAGTATTTCAAAGTTTCTACAAAATTCTCAGTTTTTTTGATATCTCAAATTTTCGAACAATAAAAGAATTGTAAAGGTATATACACATGTGTGTACATACACAGGAATAAAATCTATAGATATACATTTCCGGGTTAAAAAGAATCTCTTTATTTATGCCCTACTTTCTTCCGCACACTTTTTCTGCCGGAAGTCGCGTGCACGGGTTTCAAGAACATCAATAAAGTCCGAGTGAATTTATTACACGCGAAGGAGACGAACGAAGATTTCTACCGGTATCCCTGGAAAAATATTCGAGTACGTCACACGTCGGACACTGGATATCCGCTTGATTAATCGCTTTGCAACAAACCGCAACAGTATTTCGAGTTGTGTCGCGTGCCTCGTTATTATAACACTCCCTCGTTCCTACACCCTTGTCTTCAATATCTGACTATTTTTCAAATGTTCCTATAAATAGACAAACTAACATCAAACCAACCTGGATGATTTTTATACTTGTCTTCCCTTGTAAATGTCCGAATAAAAAATTGTTACATGAGAATTTGGGAATTTGGGAAAAGAAGGTGACATTTTGAAATGTGGGAGTTCTAACAAAATTATAATTTGGACATTTTTTATTTTGGAAGATTGAAGTTTGAGAAGTTGAGAGTTTGGAAACTTGAAAACTTAAAAATATGGGAATTTGAGAGTTTGAAGACTTGAAAACTTAAAAATATGGGAATTTGAGAGTTTGAAGACTTGAAAACTTGAAAATATGGGAATTTGAGAATTTGAGAATTTGGAAACTTGAAAACTTGAAAATATGAGAATTTGGAAACTTGGAAACTTAAAAATATGGGAATTTGAGAGTTTGAAAACTTGAAAACTTGAAAATATGGGAATTTGAGAATTTGGAAACTTGAAAACTTGAAAACTTGAAAATATGGGAATTTGAGAATTTGGAAACTTGAAAACTTGAAAACTTGAAAATATGGGAATTTGAGAATTTGGAAACTTGAAAACTTGAAAACATGGGAATTTGAGAATTTGAGAATTTGGAAACTTGAAAACTTGAAAATATGAGAATTTGGAAACTTGGAAACTTAAAAATATGGGAATTTGAGAATTTGAGAGTTTGAAGACTCGAAAACTTGAAAATATGGGAATTTGAGAATTTGGAAACTTGAAAACATGGGAATTTGAGAATTTGAGAATTTGGAAACTTGAAAACTTGAAAACTTGAAAACTTGAAAATATGGGAATTTGAGAGTTTGAAACTTGAAAACTTGAGAATTTAAGAATTTGGAACATCGACAATCTGATGATTCGCCACTCATGAATTTTAAAAATATTTTTCCCGACCCAAACAAAAATAATAAATTATTTCTCCCAATGAAAGAAAGTCTCCATTGCACTCGACTGTACATACAAAGTTCGAATTACTCAAGAATAAAGTTCAACATGTAACGAAGACTGTTTCACCATCGAGCCTCGAGCATTTACTTTCATCGTAACATCTGCACAAAGGCCAGAAAAATGTTGCTAACACATTGTCACGAGCACCGACGATGTGGAAAATTTATTAACACTCTATGAGCTCATCAGATTATCTTGAAATTTTTCCTGGTTGATTTTTAATCGTTTTATCGAATGCGGTCATCGGGCAAAGGTGAAAAACTTTCATCTACTTAGCTTGAAAAAATTCTTGTTGCATTTTTTATTCTGGTTCATAAACTTTTATTTGTTGAGAGGTTAGACAGTGGATTATCAAGAAGCTGGAAATGAATCAAGAAGATAGAAATGAATCAATGAAGAAAGCTAGAAATTATCAGATAAAACCAATTTGAAGGTATGTGAATTCAAAAGCTTTTCAAAACAAAGAAGTTCACAAACTTCATAAATATCCAACTCCACAAATAAGAATTGTACAAGAAGCTACTAATTATCAGATCAGATAACCTGATCTGATAAATGAATCTGAAAGCTTTCCAAAGGAAAGAAATCCACAAAATCCATAAATATCCAACTCACAAATAAGAAATGTACATGAAGCTATTAATTATCAGATCAAATAAAACCTATTTGAAGGTATGTGAATTTGAAAGTTTTCCAAAACAAGAAAATCCACAAAATTCATAAATATCCAACTCACAAACCAACTCCACAAATAAGAATTGTACAAGAAGTACACAAGCGGAGAGTTATACATAGAATCGCGAAATAAGTCAGCGACGAATGCCCGCTCTCAAGATGGACGTCGTTGCACCTTGCCCTGGCGGGCACAGCTGGCCATCGCCGGTTTTGAAGACTTCGAACGGTAGGCCACGTTTAGTTTTCCTATCATTTCCCATGTGTCCTTCTCTCGCGTGCATCGCTTCGAGGTCGTCGACCTAACGGCAGAGGCCGATTGTGGACATTCGAAAAGGCAGCAGGCAAGATTGGCGAGGGCGAGAGCCAACGGCAAAGACGAACGAGCGAGCTTTTCTCTCTTCCTCTATTCTTTCTCTTTCTCTCTCTCTCTCTCTCTCTCTTCTTTCAACCTTCGTTAGTCGTCTCGTTCCACCTTGTCGACTGCGTACCGTACCTTGGACCATCATTCAGGCACACTAAAATTAGCGAGGGAGTATATGGCGTAAAGAAATTTGGCAACGACGATCGACTCGATGCTGGGATCGGTTGCCACTCTTTTACTCTTTGTAGTTTTCTTTTATTTGGGTTCTGGGTTTTAAGAAATTGTTTCACTAGCTTTTAGGTAGCTTTACTCTTTGTAATTTTCTTTTATTTGGGTTCTGGGTTTTAAGAAATTGTTACACTGGCTTTTAGGTAGTTTTACTCTTTGTAATTTTCTTTTATTTGGGTTCTGGGTTTTAAGAAATTGTTACACTGGTTTTTAGGTAGCTTTGCTCTTTGTAGTTTTCTTTTATTTGGGTTCTAGGATTTAAGAAATTGTTACACTGGTTTTTAGGTAGTTTCACTCTTTGTAGTTTTCTTTTATTTGGGTTCTAGGTTTTAAGAAATTGTTACACTAGCTTTTAGGTAGCTTTGCTTTTTCTACTTTTCTTTTCTTTGGGTTCTAGGTTTTAAGACCATGTTACACTAGTTTTTGGATGGCTTTTAGTTATTAGGTATATTTTAGTCATATCGCTTTTGGAAGATCAAAGTTTGGGAAGTTGAGAGATTGGAAACTTGAAAACTTGAAAATATGGGAATTTCAAAATTTGAGAGTTTGGCGCATTTCTTCTCTTTGGGTTCTAGGTTTTAAGACCATGTTACACTAGTTTTTGGATGGCTTTTAGTTATTAGGTATATTTTAGTCATATCGCTTTTGGAAGATCAAAGTTTGGGAAGTTGAGAGATTGGAAACTTGAAAACTTGAAAATATGGGAATTTCAAAATTTGAGAGTTTGGCTCATTTCTTGAGCACATCTTTTCTTTGGATTCTAGGAGCTGACTAGGTGAAATTATACGAATTTGCAGTGTTCATTACATTTTAGTCATGTCTCTTTATAGGCTCATTTCTTCAACACATCTTTTCTTTGGATTCTAGGAGCTGACTAGGC